TAGGAGACCGTCACTAAGACTGATCGTAATTGACCAGTTTTACCTTGTTGAGATCAGTGTGCTCTTTGTCTTTCATTCTCTCACTTAAAAACGACATATTTGTGTCTCCAGGCCATTGAGATGGAGCTGAGGAAAATGGAAGTGGCTCAATTAAACAGACAGGTGTCCCTCCTTACCTCCTTCATGCCAGACTCCTTTCTCCGTCATGGTGGAGATCATGACTGTATTCTGGTCCTTCTTCTCATCCCCAGGCTCATCTGCAAGGTATGAATATGTACAAGACATTTTCGTAAAATTCATATTGTTGTGCCCTCTCTGTTTATGTAACTACGACAAGATGTATTTATATCTTCTAACCTGACAGGCTGAGCTCCTCAGTAAACAAGCCCAGGAGAAGTTTGACTTGAACGGGAACCTGGTGCCGGGGGCAGGGCTCAGAGGACCTCCAGGAGAACAGCGCAGCTTTGCCTCAGGACTGGTGTACTCCCTGTGCTTGCTGCAGGCCACCCTGCACAAATATGAACAGTACGCACCGCAGCTTCATCACTTATGTATAAAGTAGTGTTTCTAAGATGTTGGCAATAAAAGAGGTTGACTATAGTTCTATTGGATTATTGTTTTTCACAAGTGAAAGAAATATTACGCTTGTCTAGAATAATGAGAATCTGTTGCTGTGTCAATTTAAACCTTATTCATAAACAACTTGTGCTCCATCTATTCCTTCCTATCTTCGCTGCTTTTGTTCTAGGGCTCTGAACACCTGCAACATAGAGGTTTTTAAGCGCATGGGTACACTTTACTCTGAAATGAATTTCCATGAGCGCTCCCTGGATTATTTCATTGACCTGCTGCATAAAGACCAATTGGATGAGACTGTTCAGGTGGAGCCCCTGACCAAGGCCATCAAGTACTACCAGGTAATAAAAACAAAAAAACAGCTGTATAGGACTTTAACAGTCTTTATCTATTCATTTATATACAAACATGATATTAGATTTTGTTGTAGAAGAGTAACTCACTGTTTTGTTTTCCAGCAACTGTACAGTGTCCATCTGGCAGATCACACTGAGGACTGCACAGTGCAGCTGGCTGACCACATCAAGGTACGTGAAGCTTCTTCAGTGGTTGACTTATTTCTGTTGAGGAAAGTAAAGCAGAACTGTTTCCTAACTTTGCATTTCACACTGTCACATCCAGTTTATCCAGACCGCATTGGACTCCATGGCAGTGGAGGTGGCTCGTCTGCGGGCGTTCCTGGCTGCAGGTCAGGAAAGCTCTGGCCTTGCTGTGCTTCTGAAGGACCTGGACACTTCGTGTTCGGATATCAGACAATTCTGTAAGAAGATCCGCCGTCGCATGCCTGGAACAGATGTGGTTGGAGTACCTGCTGCTCTCAATTTTGGACCAGAGGTATGGGTTCAAATGAAAAAAATGCACATGTGCACATAGAAGTGTACTTACACAGTTTTGTTCCTGTATGAAGCTAAATCTGAAGTAGCTTTGACCTGTTTCCTTTCTGTAACGTACCATTAAAGTTTATCTCTTGTATGATTGGCAGGTGTCAGAGACGCTGACAGAGTGTAGGCGCCAGCTGACCCGTGCGGTGGCCGTGCTGCAGGAGGTGGCTGCAGCTGGGGCTCAGATGGTTGCTCCGCTGGCAGAACAAGAGGGTCTCAACGCTCTCAAGCTGGAGGATATTGCCTGCAACGTTGTGGATCAGGTACTATGAATACTCATGTGCCATTTGAAGGATATGGAATCTTATCTTTAAATTACTGTTTTGAGAGTGATTGTAAGAAGCAACTATTGTTATGTTGCTTATGGATTTTTAGGTTATCTCCTGATTTTTTTATTTAAATACTTTTTTTCTCCCCTAAGGTGTATGGCTCCCATGGCCTGAGTGGCCCAGAGTGTCTGCGTCAATCCTGCAGCTCTGTCATTGCTACCATGAACAAGATGGCTACAGCCATGCAGGAAGGAGAGTATGATGCTGACAAACCTCAGGGCAAGGTATTTGCAGGCCTTGTGTATCACATAGTTCACTGAATTCAAAGAATATTTAAATCCTCTGTCACTTCCTTCCCATTTACTCAACTTGTTATTATCTTCCCCTTCGTCTTCAGACTCCTCCTGTGGAAACGAGAGCTGCCACCGTCAGGGCTGAGATGACTGACGCTGAGGGTCTAGGTGTTAAACTAGAAGACAGAGACACAGTCATCAAGGAGGTCAAGAAGTCTCTTAAGATCAAGGTAACAAATTGAAGAAAACACCTGCAAAAAGACAATTTTGTCTGAGAAATTAAGTTTTAATAATAAGCCTGTCAGTTAGAAATCAGAAGAATTCTTATTCCCCCCAGGGTGAGGAGCTGAGTGAGGCCAACGTCCGCCTGAGCCTTCTAGAGAAAAAGCTGGACACCTCCACCAAAGATGCAGATGAACGGGTGGAGAAGATCCAGACCAAACTCAGCGAGAATCTCGCCCTGCTGAAGAAGAAAGAGAAGTACGAACCATTAGATACAAACACATTTCAGTTTTTATCTTTCTCTTACGTGCCCTTTTTTCTCTCTGGCACTGCTGATTTTCCTCCTCATTGGCCTCTTTTCTCCTCATCTTCAGGGAGTTTGAGGAGACAATGGATGCTCTGCAGGCTGATATCGACCAGCTGGAGGCAGAGAAGGCAGAGCTGAAACAACGCATCAATAACCAATCAAAGATGACCATCGAAGGCCTAAGAGCCCCGTCTGCCTCTGGTATAGCCTCCATTGTTCAAGGATCTGCAGGAGGTAAAGTACTCTGTGGTTATGAGCATTTGTACATAGTTTGAAAAGTTGTAATTTACTGAAAAGCTGCGTCAGTAAGCTGATAACGTCATCATCTTTTGCTTGTCGTTGGTGTAAAGTGCTACTGCAACAATGGTACAATGACATCAATCAGATTTTGGAAATTATTAAGTCTTTAAATTGAGCGAAAAAGACAATGAAATGTCAGAGGAGCAGCACAGGGTGTCAGTGATTTATATGTCACCTTTCTTCCCTCCTCTGTCCAGCAGGGCTGCCTCCATCCATGGCGGGGCCAGTGCAGGTGGTGGACTCTCCCCTCCTCCGGCAGCAGGTCGAGGCTCAGAGACTGGGCATCAAACACCTCAAGAATGAAAACAACAGACTCAAGGTACACGTGTTTGGCGTTTGTGTCATTATGTTGTGCTCGGCTGGATGTCTGAACCGTGGTAATATTGACCAAAAGTATATTTGACCACAGGCTGAGAAGATGAGAGCCCAGCTGGCCTCCCTGCCTCCACTCTGCCCCCCCAAACTGCCACAAGTGTCCAAAGAAAGCTCCATGCCTCCAGGGGGACTGAACACAGGCATCTATCGCAGGACTGACCAACTGCTGGCGACGCTGCTCAAGCTGAGTGCAGAGTTTAAAGTGGTGGACATCACTGGGAAGACAACAGGTGTGTGCAGACATATTTTACCTTTTAATAAGCTGCTGTTTAAAATGTAATTTAGGTCACTTTGCTTCAATTTCTGTCCCCCCTCGCATTTTTTCTCTCAGTTAGTGCCAGTTCCCAGCTGCTGGAGCAGACGGCTCGACTGCAGAACCTCAGTGATGCTCTGGACAAACTCAAGGTGACAACTTCAGAATCCAAGCTCTTCTCCTTAGCGTGTCAATAAGCTAAAAGGCACAAACAAAACATTTGGAAACTTGTCTTTCAGGGAGAAGTAGCTGAACATGTGGTCACGCATCAGCGTGGAGCCAAGGCTTCCTCTGACTTCGCCACATTCCCAGTGTCGTCCTTTGTTAAGGTAAAAGCATACAGCACTAGACTTTGTTGTCAGTGAAAGAAATGGAACATGTAAAATTACTTCTTGTCCGTCTCTGTTCTTTCTTAGGCCAAGGAAGAAAAGCAGGGGAATACAGTGCTTGTGGGTCGTGTTTCCATTCCATGCATCCGCGGACACGAACAAGTCCACCGCCTCGTCCTATCCCAGCAGCAGCTACAGCAAGTGCACAGCCTCCTGATGGTGTAGGAGCACAGCCGAGATTGAAGGAACATCAAGAAAATCTTTTCTTTATTCTAATTCCATCTTCCACTTGACATTCTCAATTTCTCTCCTTTGCTTTTCGCTCTTCTCAGGAAATTGTATCCAGAATTTGCAAAATTAAGTCAGCACTAATAAAACTAAGGCACGTAAAAATGATTGGTGTTTAATTATTTTGAAAGAAGTGCAAAGTGGATTCGACCCTTGTTTTAGTCACAGAAACTGTTTGTACACACAAATTTTGCTTACTCTTTGTGGAAATGGGGAAAACTACAAATATTTTTTACTGTGCTCACACCTCTTTAGTTTCTTCTCTTTTTATCTTTTCTATTTGTAATAATAAAAATATTTGTTATAGAAGTTATTCCCAAACCAGTGCTTGTTCTCGTAATGGAGTATTTGTAGTAATTCAGACAATAAAAGAAAGCAATTCACCTTAGAGCAATTATTATGAACGTGTCTGTGTTCATTTTGACTCATGAAAAGTAAAGCCTGTTAACTGTGTATTAACAGGCTTTACTGTGTTGTTGAAAAAAATGAGCTGCTCCAACATTTAGTCTAACGTAAGGGTCCAATGTCTGGTTGTGAAGATGTACCTACACCTTCCCCACAATCATGTACAGAAACATTTTTGAATTCTAATCTCATTATCCTCAGTAGATGTAGACAACACTGCTGACATGCTGGTGCCATCTCATCACGCCACAGCAATCTCTTAAACCTGCTACTGACCCCAGGTTATTGAGAAGAGAGAAGTTCTTCCCTCCAACGTGAACAAGATTTAGTTTAGTGTTAGGAACAAAGCCTCAGTCAAAGCAGTTTTTATATCTGAGGGGTTAAATGTTGAAAATTTAGCAGGATTACACTGTTACTAGCAAAAAGATCAGATTTAGGAAACTAAATCTTTACAGTGATATTGACCTGATAATTTAACTATAATAAGAGATCTTTTTTTATATAATCCAAAAGCTGTTCGGAAATCTTAGCTTCAGCTTTAATAGAACAAATCACCATATACATTTTAAGTGCAGAATGTAAAAAAAAAATATGAAAAATACTTTTAAAAAAACTATTTTTTGTCAGAAGAACATACATGAAACCAAACTGATAAAAGAACTAATTTACAATATGATAAAATAAAAAGGTACTGTATACGTATAGGGACACTCGCTGGGTTAGATAAAATTGAGTGTGAAATGAGCAGTGAGGTTCAACACTTCCTGCTGCTTAAAAGCCTGTGTATGGTTCAGAGAACATTGCTGACTTGTGGAATAATATCCTACAGGATGATGAAGGTAACACTTTGAACTTTGAATACTTGTTAAACAGCTCAGTAGTAACTGCCATGTCTGGGGTAGTGATCTGGTCTGTGGTGGGCGTATGGAGCAAAGTGGTGTCTGCTGCGTCGGCTCTTCATCACATACTGATGATGGTGCTCATTGTAGCGATCGTGGCTGTGGTGAGGTCTGTAGTGGAAACCTGAAATTCATACAGAACATGTCAACAGGCTCTGAAGTGGATCTGACATTTAATGATGATAAAGACCTTCAATAAGACCAGATCACCCGATGAGGTCTTTTGTTTAAACAAATATGAAAAATGTCTATGAAGTATAACATGAAGAGCCAAAGAAAGGCTTCCACTGCAGTATTGTACACTTACCATTTCCACCCTGTCCATGTTGGTCATACTTGCGTCTGTGGACAGATTCTCTGTGAAACTGTGGTGGGAGGGCAGGCCTGTGGCGATATGTTCGTTGCTGCTGGTGGTTGTCCTCAAAGTTGTAGCAGTGTAAGGGGAGGGAATTATTGCTGAACTCCTCCCTGTAGCTTTGGTAATTTCTCTCTGTTGGAGACAAGAATGGAAAAAAATATACAAAACAGGAAAGTGTTTTTTGTTTGAGGAGAAGGGTGATTCCTGGGAAGAGCAAGAAACCTCAAACACATATCACTCACTCACAGGACAACCTGCTCTATTCACACATAAGCTCAATCAGACATGAAACTGAATTTGTACGAGGGGGTAGACAGGCTTAAGTGAAGCAATGTGTGGTTCAACTGCCGGGGAATTGTAGGGGTAATGTTGAGAAAAGTTCAGGGTAGAAGTGCATGTGTAAAAGCTCCTACTTTGCTGCATGTAAACTTTTCCCAGTAAAAGCACAGAAAGTGTTTGGCTGCAACGTGTTTCTGTCTTTAAAAGTCCCCACTATAAACAGACATTTGTGTTCTGAAATCACATTGCATTACAAATGGGCTACAATATTTTTATGTCACATTAATAGTTTGGCTGTATCAGCAAGTATTTTGAGATGTTTTTTCCCCTCACACAGATAAAAGGACACAACATGTAGCAAAAGTCTTGTGTTTGATGTAAACCTCACCAATGCTGGAAAAATAGTTGGTGGGAGCCGGGCAGCAGTAGTTAGGGGCATACCCTGCGTGACACACTCCTGAAAGAGCAGAAATACATGCATCAGAAAACCCATATTATGTTCTCACAACATCTCCAACTCACCACAACACAACCACACACCCACACACACACACGCACACAACAAATAAGTAGTTTTTCAAACCTTAAATACACTCTGCTATTTATCATTTTCAGAAGGTCTACAGCTTATTGTGATGCATTTCCCACATTTCTTTGTCCTACACTAATAAATTCAACATTAACAATGTTTTTAAATACATCATTACCACCTGATGTCGTACCTGCAGGGTTGGAAGCCTTTCCATAGACTGGCTGAGGAACAGTAACTTCAGTATGTTCTAAAAACAATAAAGTCATGTTAACATCATTTAAATCAATTACAATCACTTCCTCTCAGTTGTGTAAAGTTACAGTTTATATCCATGTCTGTCTAGGCTCATATAATAAATAGATTGAAGGCTTTGTTTGAAGTGTATTTCATCAAAGTTCTTCCTTGAGTTCAAGTGGTAGCTTGGGCCTCATGAAATGAGTGTGTTCAAAGTCATTGACAAAAAAAAAATACACATGTGATAAACACAGCATGGAGAAAAATAATATAGCAGTATGCCCACACCAAATATCCTGTTTTTCAATGCAGTGTTAAACCTCACCAACAGTGGTCAGTTGACAGGGCATGTTGACGCCCCAGGCCTGTGCAGCGTGCTGTAACAGCAGGGAGGTTATCCTGCGGTGGGCAAGTGCATTCCAGTGGACTCCATCCTTCGTGCGATGCTGCTGAGAAAAGCGGAACTGGTAGTGTAGGTCCAACACGTCTATCCCATAGGCGTTAGCCAGAGTCCCGCTGCAGAAGTTAGCTTCGATCACATCATAACGCAGGTGGGGGGCAATGTGCTCAATCTGAGGTGAAAGAAGGAGAGGTGACACATGGTGTAGTTTAGGCTGGGCAATAAAACAATATCAATAATTGATGCAATATAGTTTTCATCAATAGCAATATAACTGAGGTTCAGTATACATCAATATATTCCTTATGCAGGGTGAGGAGGGATAGCACATAACTGATCTCCCTCAGATTTGTAAAATGTTTTGCTGTATCAAGTGTTCATTACTCTCAGCTCATAAAAAGTTGAAAACCACAACCTCCACTCAGGAGCAATAATCTGTCTTTAAACCAGCCTTTCTCAAAGTGAGCTGACGAGTAGCATATCATGTTTAAACATTTAAAATGTCACTGTTTTAATTTCAGTGTTTCTCAAACAGCCTGCGACATATATGTGTTGTTTTCAATATCAAATCAACTAGTATGTAAAACCAAAAAACATTTCTTTTGTGGCATTGTCTGACTTGAGCAGCGACACCGCAACCGTTTTACGGCAAAAATAAGTGTGACCCTGCCGTGACTTCGGGAACCTGCCTGTGCAAAGCTTCGAATTAAAATGGATGCTAGCTTAGCACCGGGTCATGTAAAACAAAGTCGTCGAGTTCCAGGATGATGGTTTAACACCAGCGACGTCGTCAAAGCAGACCCCGCCGCAAACTCGACATGAACGTGAAAAAACCACATCGACTACACACTGTAGTGTTCTGGTGTAACAGACAAGATGTCGGTTCTCTTTATCTCCACTTTATTTTCTGTAACATACACAGATTACTGTCGACCGTAACCACGCCGAGAAAACATTCTGAACCGCTCGCTCCCGCTCGCTCGCTCCAGTCACACACACCTTATCCCCATCACTTCCTCATTCACGCCCCAACCTGCTGACAACCGGCCAATGGGGAACCAGCCATGCCATCCCACCCCCACCATTGGTCCAAACGGCCACGTGCCCACCCGTGAGACGTTCAATGATGTGGGAAAACACAGTGCTTCAGCAACAACGACACTTAACAGCTGAACACAACACAATCACAGATAACAATGAAGAACACAAAACTATCGGTCTGTTACAATACATTTTGGCGCTACTTTGAGTTAGGTGGTCCGTGAGTGTTTTATTATGGGTTAAGTGGTCCTTGGTCTAAACAAGTTTGAGAAACACTGCTTTAAACCGAACAATGTGACATTTATTGTGATAATGATCAATATCAACTAATATGAACATTTCTATCTTGAATGGTTTTGATAATAACGTCCAGCCCTAGATGCAGAGACACAAAAAAATCTACCTGGAAACATATTTGCATGGTGTGAACAAAAGTTGGAGGGGGCAGTCAAAAGCTTTGCTAGGATTGTAAATATTGTAACCTGCAGGTGTTAGAAAGAATAGAGGGTTTTTAACAACAGTTCACAAAAAGTATAAACACTTTACTGTCCCCATCCTTACACTCACTGCAACCAGGCAGCATCTGTTCTTAAAAGCCTCAGATACATTTCAAATCGCACAAATCTGCTTCGTGTAGATGTAGTGAACATGTCAATTGTATTTATAATAATGTCTATTAATTATCAGGAATTCACTCTTACTATCAGTGGGACTAATTAAATAAAACAATCTTCAATAAATAAAAAATATACTATCTAGAAAACTTCTATTGGAGGCTACTTAAAAATTCTCTTTCTGATTTTTGCTTATTTAAAAAAAAGTTGTGACTAGGTCTAGTGAAGTTTGTCCAGCTGATGCCCGTTCAGCTCCTGCCGATGGAACAGCTGGTTCTGAGGACATGTTAGCGTCAGTGTGGATTGAGCGTCTGAGCACTGGTTGTGCAGCACTGCTGTCACGCATCAGATGTGCATTCCCAGTCAGATGTAGTGAAAACCTGTGTGCCAGATTTCCATGTCTACTTATGACACAGTTGTTTGGTGATGACATACCTCAGGCACCAGGAAACCACCTTTGATTCTCTCTGCTAAAGGCATAGTGAGGCTCCACATGACCAAGGTTTCCTCAGGCAGGATACCACTCAGCTTGTTAAAGAACGTACGCAAGTTCTCTTTGTAGTCATCAACCCAATTGGACTTGTATCTACAAACCCAAACACTGTTAGCTCACCAAGCACAATATCACATTATAATTATTGATGCTGGAACTACAAGTAGTTATTCTTTTGTGTTACCACCTTGAGATATCCCAAACACAGGAGTTGACAATGACTACATCTGGTTTCAAGCCATTGTGGAAGTCATCTAGGATGCTCTGCATGTAGCGAGAGAAGATGCGTGTCACAAAGTAGAAGCGGACCAGGTGGTGGTCGGACTGAAACTGACGGACCTCTCTGTAATCTGTTCCATTGTGCAATTGGCTTAGAAAGCCACCTTCTACTAGGCAGTCCATTTCAAAGCTCATCTCGCCCTGAAAAAAGAAAGATGTGAGTGAGGACATGTTTAACAAATCAGGAAAATCATGCTCAAAAAAGTGTTGCTATTTTTAGATTACAGCTTATAATGACTACATGAACATATACATTCATGTCATGATTATGGAATGTATACCTACTCAGTTGGCAGATGCTTTTAACTGATGCAACAAACAAATGGCTTTGATTACAGTGCTTCCCACTCAGCCCTGTCTTTTAAATCTGTGCATAAACCTGGTAAATGTTAGTCCTTGCCTTGCTCCTGAGTTGTTGTAAGGTTAGATATTTCTCCTTTTGTAGCAGCAGAACAAGGTCCTTGTATACAGACCTCTGAACTGAGGAGAAAATACAGTGAAAAGATAGCAGTGTGATGAATTGATCCATTTGGACAAGCCAGCAAACAGCTACAGGGTTACTATAGATCACCAGACTGTTTTCAATTCTTGCAAATGCGCAAGTTTACCTGCTTTTCAGTTAATTCAAGAGCAGAGAGGATCAATTTTGGAATGACATGGGTCGCAAGCCTTTCCTTTCTGTTCAAACATCAATCTATCTGCCTACTAATTCCACAAACATCTATCTTTCTGTCTGTTTGAATGCATATCTCACAAACCATTCATCTTATTGGTGTCACACTTGACATGTGTACTGCAGATGGCCCAGTGATGAGCAATGTCAAATTAGGTGCGATTTGTTCAATATTAAGTATTTGAAATGTTTTAGTAGACACGCTACCAGCACTCTGCTATATAGGCACAACGTTTGTTATGTTGGAGCTTTATATTGAGCTTGTAGCTGACATGCAACATATGAAGAAATAACAGCAGTTAAGTAAATGTTTGAGCGCCACACAGGAACAGTAATAAAGCAAACTGAGCTTCATTTCATTCAAAACATTGTCTGTAAAACTTTCATTGCAGATAAACCAGTTAGGATGAACACGTTTTTTGTATAACTTCACTCTGCACCATAGATTTTATTAAAACATCCAGCACACAAACAATACAAAGTGACAGTATATTGTAGAACTGTTTGAGGAGGACTCCCTAATGACAGGGGATCCTTCTGAAGTAGCTCTGGAGCATTTACACAGGACAAATGAACAGTCCATTCCAAACATTCAGGTTTCGATATGAGTTATTTGAATGGGGGGGTGAATGTGAACTCACTGGAGTCTCCCAGCACCACGATGAACTTGTTATGGAGCAACTGGCGGACCTGCTGGTGGCTCACACACTCCATCATCTCCCTCTGTTCACCATCACACAGAAGATGTCCCCATGAAAAAACTGGGAAATTCCATTTAACCGCAAAATACAACAGCCAACATGAAGTGAGTTGGGCTTTTTAAATGCTCAAAACTAAGCTACAGGATTTCTCAGCCATCACTACAACTGCCAATGCCCAGTTAGCATTAGCATATTTAAATGAACTTCCTCCAGGCAAATTAGCTCAAGTGTTGGCTTGAATTTTAAAGACATATGTGTATTGAATTAAGAGGCAAATAGCAGATTTAATTAAAAGATAAAGTTAACAGTTCAGTCGTTCTGAAATCATTTAGCTGTTATTATTATTTTAGCTTGCTAACATCTGAAAGTTGTGGGTTGCAGCTCCTGCAGCGTCCTCAGCAACAGGCCCCTGGTTCTACAGCACACGTGTTTAAAATCAAACCGGTTAAAGTTCATATCAAACATTTCATTTTGTCGCTAAAGACAAATCATGGAGGTTGTGACTCACAGTTTTCTTCGACCCCGCCATCTTTCCGCTACACACAGGTGAACGCAATCAGGTGCCGCCTTCGCTGGCTGTGGGAAATGTCACTATTCTCAAGAGCTCCACCAGGGTTGCCAGGTCTGTTTGAGAAGAAAACAAACAAACAAACAAACAGCCCCCAATTCTGTTCACATAACGTGCCTCTGTCAAACAGCACATACAGCATCGCTATCATCAGGACTGGTACAAGCATGTGTGTACCAGTTTGGGTATAAACGTTCAGAGGTCACTGTGAGCTGACATTTTAAATTTGGAGTTTTGTTCGGCTCAGATTTCATCCAATTTGGTGCAAACGTTCACTTTGGACTTGAAGATCGACTGATTCAATTCGGGTGCTTGGACATCAACAGACAAGGCCGCAGTGACCTCATGTTAAAGGTCGAGGTTACTATGACCTCACAAAATTATTTTTCCCTTGTGTGAGTTACTTCAGATATTCTATAGAGAATTTTTCAAATTTAGCACAAATGTTCACAACAGTGGGTCAGGAGTTAGAGCAGGTCATCCACTAACCAGAACCAGAAGGTCTGATGTGGTTTGATCCCAGTCTCCCATTCCACATGTGTCCTTGTCTAAGACACTAAACCCTAAATGACAGAGTGATATGTTAAAGTACTGCACATTGCTTCAATGTGCTAATGGGTGAAAGGCAAAACTGTACTGTAAAGTGCTTTGGATGGTCACCAAGACAAGATAGTGCTATATAAATACTGGACGATAAATTCATTAGGTCACATTTTGTTTCTTGGCCTCTACAACATAATATCTCAAGCCTGACTGATTGATTAGATCGCAGTGGTCGAAGGTCACAGTGACGTCACAAGAGTCTGGGGGAAAAAAAATGTCTGTAGACTGAAACTGCAGTTGTCAGATGTACATAAATGTTCAGTGTGACAGCATCAAACAGCTTTCATAAAAAGTTCTTTCTCCTGGCACCTAAAATAACCTTGGATAATTAGATTTGATAGACCTTTGTTTTAAAAAATAAAATATAGATCTGTAGTCTCAAGCATCCTGTCTACTTAGACTAAGTTCTGATCAATTAAATAATGGTAAATTAAAACATCCCCTCAGCCCCCCCCCCCAAAAAAAAGGACAGCCTCAATGACCTTCAAGAATGATTCTTTATTTCATTACTGTTGGAAATGTTGAAGAACAGTTTCATAGAGAATCTTTTTACTGTCATTAGAAATCACTGTCCTCATCATAATCCATCACTTGTATCTGATCTTTTTTCTTCTCTTCCTCTTCATCCTCTTCTTTCTTCTCCTCTTCTTCCTCTTCTTCTTCTTCTGTTTCATCAGTCTCATCTTCTTTCTTGGTCTCATCTTCCTTGTGAAACTCCTGGTATATCCGGGTCAGCGCTTTTGCTGCTTCGAGAGACACTTTCAGATTTCCTATCACCTCCTTGTCTTCATCTAGACTGAAGACTGGAGGAAAGAGAAACACAGAGCTCCATGTTTTTACACATTATCAATACAGGACGATGACAGAGCATCCACCAAAACATGGAATAGGAAATAAGAATACAATTATATGACAAAATAATAAAAATAGTTTGGAGAACTTCAGAGGGTGGGGGCTGTAAGACTGAACGCCCTGGTCATATCATTGGGTCTCAGGCTAGGTTCCAGGATGTAGAATTAGAGTGGAGGAGGTCAGACAGGTAATGAGGGGCCAGGGTCAAGGGATTTATGGGTAAGGAGGAGGAGTTTCTATGTGAGGTGGGACTTAACTGGAAGCCAGTAAAGACTATGGTGGGGTGGATGTTCTGTCACTTGCTGGGTTCGGGTGAGTCCTCTACAACTGAAGCCTGTCTAGGTCTTCGTACACTACATTGTAAAAATGTTTTACATAAACCACTGCTTTTACCTGTGTTTACTATGGGACCATTAACACCTGTATGTTTTCAGCATCTATACAGTTTACTAAGCAGCCTGCTCGTGAGTTTTCTTATATAATCAAGTGTGAAACAATCAAAGCTATATCACACAAAGTAATGAACATGAAGAGGTGAAAGTGATGTCACCTTTGTGTGTGATAGATGAAAGAATAATAACTAAAGAATAAAAACAGATTAAACGCCAAAGGAATGAAATATGGCTAATAATAAGTGATGGACCTTTCATTTCAAAAAAAGAAAAGAAAACACAACCCTATCACACAACACCAATACCTACTGTCAATCTGTTGTTCAAGAACATCATTTCCTGTGAGCAGCAGTTCTTGTAGGTCGAGAGACGCACATCCCACGTCCACACACTCCTCATCATCATCCATTGGCTCACTGACCACTGTGAACTTTAACCTGCCGCGAGTCAGGTGGACATACATTGTTAAATACTGTGATTTGGTTGTACCCATAAAGGGAGAAGATGTAATGTGTGATACACAAAAGACAGATGGTGTTACCTGCCCTGGTTGGGGTCATTACCCTCCAGCATGGTGTAGAGATACTGTCTGAGTGGAGCCGACTGTGATCCGTCCACGTAGATCACTGAGAGATACCATGACAGAGCTGAGGTTTGTAAAAGAGCGGTGAGAAGACAACTGCACAGAAACACGAAAAGCTCACCAGCTCTCACCTCGTGTGAAGTTGTAGTGAATCTCCTCTCCCTTTGTGGGTTTGCGGAGAGACATGGGCGTTTCTGTCGTCTCCATGGGGACGCCCAGCAGCCGATATTCCACGTACACACGCTGCACCGACTTGTCCAGTGCCACGTGTGAGGACGGTTCAAACGTCATGGACAGGATCTCAACTCTCAACTTGTCTCTCTGAAACGCAGAGAAATTCAGCTCATAAATTCATCGGAAGCAGACGAAACAATGACATCTGACTGACACATTAATAATTATATTAGTGTCTCTCTGTTTATATAAAGTTTGACCAGTTTGTTGAAATGAAAGGTGGAACAACAGATCTGAAGATGGACAAACTACAATAACACGAAAGCCTAAGTATCTTCCTTTGTCAATTCATTTTCTCCCCCTCACTGAGTTGAATGTACCTTTCTTATTTTCCATTTAGGAGGAATGATAATCATGTCGCTTTGTGAGGAGCTTGAGTCTGAAGACTCTGGGGCATCTCTGTCTCCTGCAGCAGCTGTGTCGTAACAGAAAAGACAAAAAGATTTATTTCATTTTAAATTCCATTGGCTGAGATACAAATCAAAGCTCCATATGTTTGGAATATGTCATTTGTATGATGAAATTGTTTGCTATGTGAGGTTTTTTCTGCTCAGTTAACCAATGTAGCACTGAGGTTTCAAATCACTGAGAGAAACTCAAGGCAGGTGTGTGTATGTGTGTGTATGTGAATAGTTACCACTCTCACTCCTTCCCTCCTCTTCATCCTCTGACACCTGATCTACAGAGAGGAGGTCCTGAGAAAAAGAAACGAGATATGAACCCACACACTCTTGATTCTCTTTTGAATCACTAATGTTACCTGATATTTATTATACAAGGAGACAGTGAGTTCCTACCTGAGTCCTGATGTCGCTGGCAGAGCTTCCCCTCGATAGAGTGGCAGGTGATTGCCTGGGAGACGTTCCCTCTGAGGAGCTTAAAATACATTTTCCCAAATATTCTTATTATTTAATCTTATTTCATCCAGCAAACATTTAAGAAACTACAGATATATAACTACAGATTTTTAAAAGAACAAACAATCAACAACTTACGTCCGAGCTGGCAAATGAGAGGGTTTCGGCCCAGGCGTAAGATGGGACCTTTTAGTCGATCTCTTCCTGTCTGTGGTCTGACGAGTGTCCAGATGTTTCACAGAGGTGTTTGGCTCAGCCCGTGCGTTCTTTGAGCTTTTCTGTTTGACAGCTGGAGGCCGAGGCTGCAAACAGATGAATATACAAGTAAACAAAATGATTACAAAAACACTCAGCAGTTGAACCTTTGTAAGTGTTTGAATCTCACCCAGGTTTTCGTCTCCCTTTGCACTGCTTTGGTTTCTCTTGGCGCGAGTAGCTGAGTCTGAGGCAAAAGAACAACAAAACAATACTTAAAGCTAGTGAAGTGGGGTATATTTAAACATCCATTTTAGCATTAACTATAGACTTAATATAATGATGGACAACATGTCTACACTTCCTTCCCTGAAGCCAAAACATCCCAGATATGAACTCTGCCATCTTGCACATTTGACCGTCTGTGCACACAGGAGCAATGGGGGGATGGAGCAGTGGTAGCAAGGTCCCACTGATACATGCACTCAAACAATGACAAATCAATCTCAACTCTCAATCATGACATTTGACTTAAAGTTTAAAGCTTCAAATAACTAATTAAATCAAACATACTGGAAAACACTTGAACACACATCCGTGTGATAAGAACTACCTAAAATGATTGAAAAATGGATTTGTGCTCCATGTCCCATCTGCTTATTTCAAGGAGGCTGGATTTATGACCTATACTGCAGCCAGCCACCAGGGGGCAATTAAGATACCTTGGCTTCACGTTTGTATAGCAGTCATATCCTCCATCTTTATATACAGTCTATAGAATTTACACATTAATGTACGCCACAGGTCCCAGGACATAATGTCAGAAAACTGAATGCTTCTTAGAAATACATTTGTTGTCCAGGGGGATTCAGGTTATTATTGCTTTTTAACACTTCATAAATTATTTTCACGGATGTACATGAGATAAATGTATAGTTCCTGGGAGCATTGCAATTCCTAAACTTTTTAACACAGCAGAAATAAAAAAGACCTTTACTCTGGGCTTGGCTATGGGCTTCTGTGACACCTCCTCTTCTCTCCTCCTCTCCACCGTCCCAGCGCTTTCTGTCACTCTGTCCTGTCTTCCCTGTCCACCCAGTGAGTCGTCTGCCGTTGGCAGGAAGGGGTACTTCCATTTTATCATGATCCTGACCATGCCCCGAGGCCCCCCAGCAGGATCCCTCAGAACATAGTCACCTGGCAGGGCAGAGAGAAACATAGAGATGAATACAGTAATCATTTCCAGGTAAGTATTTCTTCTTCCTTTCTCTCCCTCACCTCTGATCTCCCTGCCTGTGGCCAGGGCTCGCAGTGGGATGGGGGTCTTGGCCA